TGCTGCAAAGGCCAGAACTGTGGAAAAGGGTCATAAGTCACATTTTTCAGTGCCATGGTAACTTTGAACGGTCTCTAAACGAACAATTGTTAAGTCGAGGACTACCTGTAAGGTGACTCATGGAAGTAGCCATTGTGGGTGTTAAATATTAGGGCTACTGCAATTTAGAGAAGGGCATTTTCTGTTCCAGGAGAAGTGGAAATGGAGGGGAAAGGATTCCTTTTGCGGCGCTGGGACCGGGGGGGGGGGCTGGAGGAAAATCGATCGGGGGCCTTCCTCCTCAGTGAATTTCAGAGATAGGCTTCATCTTCTGGTGACCGGGCCGTTTCCGATCAGGGCAGGGGTGTCAAACTCAATTTCATTGAGGGCCGCATCAGGGTTGTGCTTGATCTCAGAGGGCGGGGTGGTTGTGGACAGAGTGGGTGTGGCCAGCATGACATCACTTGTTTCGGGGGGGGGGGCTCTGTCAGGGAAAACGGGCTTCCGAGCTCCATTTTCGGCTCCGATGGCCTCCTGCAATCTTCTGCCAGTGAAGAGAGAGCTCGGAGGAGGCCACGTGCGGCCTTTTCCAGCTCCGTTTTCCCTGGCTAAGGCACCGCGAGCCGGTCCTTGGCTGTTTCCAGGCCGGCCCTGCAGGCCAGATCTAAGCACCCTGCAGGCCGGATCTGGCCCCCGAGTCTTGAGTTTGACACCCCTGGATTAGGGCCAGTTTCTGCTTGCTTTTGTTTTCTTTTCTTTTTTATAATTCACCTGGTATTTTTTTACTTCTCTGTCTTCTAGGGAAGCAACATATGCAACCCCAGATTCTAGAGGTCAATTTCAACCCTGATTGTGAAAGAGCATGCAAATATCATCCAACATTCTTCAACGATGTTTTCTGTACTCTGTTTTTGGATGAGACCGACAGCTGCCATGTGACTTCTATCGTTTAGGTCCACATAGCATAATTTACTATTTAAGAAGGGTATATTTCAGTTCTATGAGCTGCTTGTGCAAATATTTTTCCTATAGTGTCTGTCAGAACAAAAAATGTCCCTGGCGTCATATAGAATATATGCGTAATTTACATGCAATAAGTAGTTTGCTTTTGAGCATGTTTGCATCAGTCTGCTGAATTTGTCAATTTAACAAAGGATGCTTTTACATATATTGAAGATCACTGAGGTTTAGTTGCAAATTGATTTCAATTTTGCTATAATTAGCATGTTTGTTTTTCCTGTGGAAGTGTATCTGTACAGCATTTTTCAGCCTGCTTTGCTTTCTTGATATAATGCATTTGACGTAGTTGAAGCCGTTATTTTATCCAACAGAATTATGTTCTCACCTTCCTTTTAAGATGCTTTGCTTTAAATAACAATATGAAACAATCATTTCAAAAGCTTCCGCTGGCTCATGTGACCAGTGAGATTTCGATTTTTTTTAATAAACAATTATCAGCTAAGTGTGAATACTTTTACTTTGATGTCACATCCAACAGTCGAATTTCAAGATAAAGATGCTGTAGGAAAAGCCAAAGGTGGTTCTTTGTACCACAGATGTTTTTTGAGATGTTTCCATTAGGATGAATGATTCTAACTATTGAATTACCAATGCCAATCTTTTTTTTTTATTTTGAAATATTAAATATACACATTTCTACCCATTAGCTTTTAATTAATACCAATAAGAGCCAGTTCTTTTCATGTTCTTTATACTTGTTTCAGGACCTTTCTAGGAAGTTAAAAAAAAGACATGTGAACATGCTTGGGCTGCTTTGCAATTGGTAAAACACAGATTCTTTAAACTCTGAATTATTTTAGGATCTTTTTCTCCCCCAAAAGATTCTTTCTTCTGTCCAGGACACACATTTCACCACTCAGAATAACTTTCCTAAGAAGATGGTTTAAATCCTGTTTAATTTATCATAATTGGGGTCTGGGTTTAATAACTGAACTCCTATAGGAGCTGTGCCAACTTCTTGCCTTCAAAACAGTTCGTGACAGCTGGCATATATTGGGTATCTTTACCAAAGAGAGGGTTATTGTTTAACTTTCCTAGGTGTTCAAAACAACCTGGACTGGATGTATTACTTGAATAACACAGCATGAAACCCAGATCCTTAAACTCAGAGGTCCGCAAACTTGGCAACTTTAACACTATGCTGGCTGGAGAATTCTGGGAGTTGAAGTCCACAAGTCTTAAAGCTGCCAAGTTTGGGGAGCCCCTGCTTAAAATGGGACCTTCTGTGTTTTGTGGTCTTGATAAATCAGATGAATTGTTTACATCTCCAGGGCAGCACCATGGGGCCTCCCCATAGGAAAAAGGTGGGTCAGATTGATCTCCACAGGAGCTTGTGGAAATGTCTGATGTAATTCAGAGTACTGGAAGAAAGCAGTGTATTGCACTATTGCCAATGTGTCTTGGAGAATAATTCCCCTTCTTTCCTGGGCCATTTGATACCAATATTACCAGCCAGACATCCATTCAAGTGTAAAGAAAGAAAGAAAAATCTTTTATCCCAAGAGTGAGGCTGTAGGAGGGTAAAGTCCCAAGAGCAGCAGGGTATCCAAAGCCTACAATCCATGGTATTTTAGGTTTGCAATATACATTGATCCTAGAATGATGGTTCCCATAGTAGATAAACTAGTTCAAGCCTGAGGAGAAACATCTCCAGCTGTGTGGCTCAAAGTGCTGTGGAACTGATGAAGAGAGAACGCCTTTGCTGATTTCCTACTACCAAGAAACTCAGTAGGGAAATGATTGAAGTCTGGGAAAGAGGCCCCTTGTCAATCAACAGGAGTGCTAATTTACCAACAGCTTATCAGGTACTCAGGACCCAAGGGCTTGGCAGCACAAGGAAACAAGCCGGCCATCAACATCCCAATCAACAACAAAAAAGCCACACTCAACCAGCCACCATATAAATGAAGGGTCTTCAAACTTGACAGAACTCCTGAGCTAACATAACTGGAGGAGGAATTCTGGGAATTGAAGTCCACAAGTCTTAAACTTGCCAAGTTTGAAGACCCTTGATATAATTACT